ACACCAGGTAGTATAGAAGTAAATTAGTCAGGGTTTGTCATATCTGGATCTAGCTTAGTAGAAAACCATTGTATTTCTTGCTCCTTCTTTGCCGTCTTATCTGGATCTTTTCTGTTTATTTCAGAGCAAAAAACGTATGGACTTCTATCGTTAGCGTGGCTACTGTGTTATATCTGGTTGAGTTGCATCCTAGCAAAAGGTTCCCTGGTAAGCAGTGACTCGGTGTGAAAGTCAAGGGCTTTTATTGTGAGATTTGACCAAAGAGAAAGCGAGGCTTACGGGATCCAAACCCCTCTGTTCTTCAGCCATTCGCTCCATAATGATATTTCAAAGCTCGGCCATTGCCGCTTTAACTGTGTTTAATAGGAGCTTGAACTCCTAACCTGATGATCTTTGACCTGCATTTAAACACCAACAGATGGTTGGACGGTGCATTAGTTGGAGTGCGTAGTGTCGTGTATTTCCTTAGCCTTCTCCATCTTTCTATTTGTTTAATTTCATTGACTGTGTCACTTCTGTACGGACGGTAACACGAGACTCGCTGCTGCAGCTCGGTGGCGGTCTTGGCAGCGTTGTGTGTTTTTGTTTCGGTTACACCATGTGTCATTCAGCACTTTGGTGCCAAGAAGAAAAGCCTTTCAAGGATCCAGAGCTCCTCGAGTGTTTCCTGAGGAGCTCCTTGTGTCTCGAGATGATTTGCACTCTCTCATGGCAGCATATGTGTGGTGTGACCTGCCACTGATCTTGGATCGCACCACTAATGTCACCCCGGGCTTCACAGGAAGTTCTGGCACGCTTCAGCTGGTCGAATGTGAGCGACACAGTGTGGTTTCATACAGGGGACTGCAACTCGTTAAGTCTGACATTTAGAATAATCGTTAGGTCGTAGCATTTCCCTAAAATGTCCAAAAGTGTTTTTGTTGAGGTTTGATATTTATTACTTCTTACTATTCCATGTGTGTTTTTTTTTTTTTTTTTAATTAATATTTAATCATTTTTTTGTAAATTTTCATGCAAAAACCGCCAGAAACTAAAAATGTTTAGCTTCTCAAATATTAATATTATATTATTATTAATAAAGCAGCTAAAGATATTTGTTGCTTTTTCTATGTTTTATATCATATTAAAGTGTAGTACAATTTGGTTTTATACATGGAACTATGCCTGCAAGTTAGGGTTTGTTATCATTTGGTCGTAAAATGTCCCAAAAATGTCCAAAAGTGATGGATCTTGCCAGAAAATACAGTTTTTAGTTGTTCAAATATGGAGATTTGCTGCTTTTTCTCTGTTTTATATCACATTAAAGTGACATTTAAAGACATCTCCTTGGCGTTTGAGAAACTGGGACACTAAATAAGCAGATTAATTGGAATAAAAAATAACCGAAAATGTATATATTTAGATATAATCGGTGAAGGCTTATTATTTATTACTTTGTTAATTTTTTGTATTCATATTGAATCATATTTAGGTTATTTAAGTAATTTCTCACGTGAAAAACGCCAGAAAATACAGTTTTTTAGCTTCTCAAATATGGAGAGTTGCTGCTTTTTCTATCACATTAAAGTGTTATTTAAAGTTTGAGAAACTGGGATGAACATTAGACACTAAATAAGCAGATTAATTGGAATTAAAAATAACCGAAAGTGATATATATTTAGATATTATAGGTAAAGGCGTATTATTTATTACTTCTTACTTCTTACTGTTCCATGTGTGTATTTAAATGTTTTAAAATGAATAGTTAATCATATTTTGGTTTGATTAATTGTTTAAGTAATTTTTCATGCAAAAAACGCCAGATAATACCTTTTTTAGCTTCTCAAATGTTGATATTTGCTGCTTTTCTCTCTGTTTTATATCACATTAAAGTGGCATTTAAAGACATCTCCTTGGTCTTTGAGAAACTGGGATGAACATATACCGTTTCCAGGCAAATCTTTCCACCAAAATCAATGATATTAGAAACTAATAAGTAAGTTAATCGGTATTGGAAAATAACCGTTAGCTGCAGCCGTGTAGTTTAAATGAATATCGGACAAAATAAGACATTCTCGCATTTCAAAGGATGCCAAACACCTTTTTTCTGCCATTTTCTTGCATGAAAATGACTTTCAACAACGCATAATTATCAAAATACTTGGTGACTATTGCATCGCCCTCTGCAGCAGTCAGTTCAGCGATCGATGCGTGCATGCTAGCGTTCTGAAGCCTCCCTCAGTGTTGCTTGTTAAACACTAGTTTTCTGCTCATGATAACCATGTGTGATTAATCTCTTCATGTTGAGCCGCTGATTGATTTTTCTGAGAGGAAATCCCTCTCTTGCTAAGTGGATCTTTTAAGCAATTAGATAAATAAAGACATGTTATTGTCAAAAATAATCACTTGGCAAGTTTTTTTTATCAAGTTTGGCATCTTAAAACATGATTGCTGTTAATTTAGCTCCATGTTTTCACACTTATTCTGTCACTCTGTGCACAGATCAGGAGCCTGGGGCTGAGCATGTGACGGCATTAACGCTCAGAGGAAATTCCTCCAGACGAAGAGAACTGAGAGGAAAGGGAAAAGAGCTGGAAGACATTTTGATAGAAGTCCCAAGAAAGGTGCAATTTGTGGGATATGTTGCCGTGTTTGAACCGTGCATATTCAAGATTCAACGCTTTTATTGTAGTTATGTCGATGGAAATCTGAGGTCACAGGCAATGCACAGTAGGGCTGTGCGATTATGGCAAAAATCATAATCACGATTATTTGGGTCAATAATTGATATCACGATTATTAAATACGATTATTCATTGACTTTGAAAACATCCATTTATTGAACATTATTTAAAACAAATACAAATAATAATTTGAACAGTATCTTTTTAACTGTTGATTACCCTGAACGTATAATTCAACTGAAAAACCAATACAAAAATAAATAAAATAAATTATACATTTAAATAAATAATATCAAAAATAATAAATACCAATAAACAAGATCAACAAATATTTTGGAGCGCACTTCCACAAGCTACTAAACATATATAAATATGATAAATACAAATAAATTAGACCAAATATGTTGCACTGTCACAACCTAGCAAATCAAAATAATCGTTTTTTCCGATTATGTTGTTTTCGTAATTGTGGCAGGCCAAAATCGTAATCGCGATTTAAAATACGATTAATTGCACAGCCCTAGTGCACAGTGCAACACAATAAAACAGATCAAATAGTGCAAGTTAGTGCAATAAGAGTCTATATACAATACGGCCACAGATGTCAGCTGTTTGAGTGCACGTTTCCTCTCTCCTTGAAATGCATCTTCACTCTGGAGTAACGTCAGCACATGAAGAAAGACATTTTTAAGATTGCACTCATCTTAAGGTGCATTTTGTGGGATAATTTGCGTGTTAAACCGTGCAGATTCTAGCAGTTTAAGTGCACGTTATCTCATGTGCACGGTTCCTCTCTGCTGTAATGCATCTTCGCTCTGTCAGACTTCACGTGAGTGCATTCCTCCGCCGGCTCGACTTGGCAGATATTTTGGGAGGGAATCACCAAGAGGAGCTCTGGCTCTGCTTTCATTGGGCGACACCAGAGACTCGAACGCCTCCGGTGTTGATGCTCGTCCAAACAGACTCACTCTTGACACTGAACTTCCCGGGTTGACTGCACGTATTTTAGAGCGTTACAGCGAAATGAAATGTGAGAAAGTGATGAAGCGCACGTTTTAATGTTTGACACACACATGGACAGTGATGCTTTCTGCATCTCAGGATTTCATTTAACGTACGATGGGCTGCAAGTCTACTTAAAAATGGAGGTGCACAAACGCAGAGGAGAGTGTGGATAACTGTGACTTAGTGTGTATTATTCCTGTCAATCACTAGCAGTGTTTAGCCACTTTAGCAGATACGAGTCCTTTTTATTTGAGTCTTTTTTCCCCAGCGTGGCCGAATAGCCTCGCAGAGTCTTTTCTTTTTCTTTTCTTGACTTGCATTTTCTAATTATCCGTATGGGAATACAATTTAAATTGAAACTTTTCTCCTGTCTAATTAATTGGGTGCTGTGTGTTCCACCATGTAATGGGTTTTAAAATCCCTGAAGAGACGGACAGACCCTCAACGTGAGCTTCAGATAACTTCGTTCAAACTGTTAGGCATCATTAAAGGGGCCCTATTCTGCAGGAGAGGACTCTTTAAAGTAGAGACACTACATACTGATATACACCTGAACATCAGCAGGAGAGGACTCTTTAAAGTAGAGACACTACATACTGATATACACCTGAACATCAGCAGGAGAGGACTCTTTAAAGTAGAGACACTACATACTGATATACACCTGAACATCAGCAGGAGAGGACTCTTTAAAGTAGAGACACTACAAACTGATATACACCTGAACATCAGCAGGAGAGGACTCTTTAAAGTAGAGACACTACATACTGATATACACCTGAACATCAGCAGGAGAGAACTCTTTAAAGTAGAGACACTACATACTGATATACACCTGAACATCAGCAGGAGAGGACTCTTTAAAGTAGAGACACTACAAACTGATATACACCTGAACATCAGCAGGAGAGGACTCTTTAAAGTAGAGACACTACATACTGATATACACCTGAACATCAGCAGGAGAGAACTCTTTAAAGTAGAGACACTACATACTGATATACACCTGAACATCAGCAGGAGAGGACTCTTTAAAGTAGAGACACTACATACTGATATACACCTGAACGTCAGCAGGAGAGGACTCTTTAAAGTAGAGACACTACATACTGATACACACCTGAACATCAACAGGAGAGGACTCTTTAAAGTAGAGACACTACACACTGATATACACCTGAACATCAGCAGGAGAGGACTCTTTAAAGTAGAGACACTACATACTGATATACACCTGAACATCAGCAGGAGAGGACTCTTTAAAGTAGAGACACTACATGTTGTGCTGATTCACTGTATATGTAAATCCTAATTTCTCCGTTTCTCTCTCAGCAGGGGGTCTGGAGGATGCTTAGAGGTTTCCGAGCAGCTCCGTCTTGCAGAAATGGCCTGAGGGACTCTCTGGACTGAAACCAAGGTGAGAAGCCACAACTTTTTTTACGCAACCGCACTGTGCAATATGTTAAACACACAAACACACACACACACTGACCAATTGTGCAACCATCTGTTCTGAAATACACTCCAGATTCCCACATGTGGCCTCCTGCTGTGCTTTGGTCTGCAGGTTCTTTAATGCATAATAAAGGCTTCCTGTTAATGCTCGTATTCGTTCACGGCTGCTTTTCTTCTTAAAGCTGACTTCTTCAAGGTTCAAGGTTCTTTATTGTCAATCTGACATAGCTACAGAGTAATTATGTAGTTGAAAATCTTATGTCACAGGCTTCTCCAACAATGCAACATAATAACAATAAGAGCAAGAGCAATACAAAAAGAATAATAGTTATAAAATAAAATAAAGTGATGATGTGGAATAGTGCAGTACAAGTCTATATACAAGTTATTGGAATGATATATATATATTAGGTATTAGATACATACTACTGAGTAGCAGATGAATGTTTGATGTTGTTTCAACAGTTCAATTCTTTAACAGTCTCACTGCCCGCGGGAAGAAACTGTCTCTGAATCTTGATCTCTTGATGGAGATATAAAACCTCCAGGCGTTTCTCCACATTAGTCAGAAACTAAACCTCTCTTTCCCGTTTCCTCTCACTTCTTTTCAAAAAAGTTGTATTCCTCGAATTCGGGTGTTTTGCAGCCTCCCGTTGGTCTGCAGTGTTCATCCATCATGTTTAAAAGAAAGCTTGTGAGTTTTGGTTCAGCTGGTGTTGGCTAATGTTTGTCTTTTGAGGATTGCTGCGCTGCCAGAAGCTCTTACAGCACCGGGCTGCAGAGGAGTCAGAACCACAGGTTTGTTGTGTTATAACTGGAGTTAAAAAAGGACTCTAGTTTCATTTAGGATGTATCCTGCTGTATTAGAGTTAATTGATGTACCAATTAGTGGTCAAGAAGGTTTATTTATTTGCTTCTAGTCCCTTTAATATTGCAACTCCAGGCAATCGGCATCATGTATTGAAAGTAGGGCTGCACAATTAATCAAACATATTATTAAAATTGCAAGATGGTCTTGTGCAATATTCAAATTGCACTAAGCACAATATTTAGTAAAGGTAAAATATGTGTAAATATCTAAATGAAGTTTTGTGGAGCTGCAGGGAAGACCTACCCTACATATTGTTTGCTACAAACTTAATAGAATATGTTTTATTTATACAGATCCTCTTTGAAAATAATCTATTAAAATGACTTTTTCAATGATAATGTGAATACCTTATCCTAATTACTGTATTTAAGTACAGTTTGATGTATTTGTACTCAAGTATTTTCTTTCTTGACCACTTTATTCTTCAATTCAAAGAGAGATATTCTACGTTTAACTTCAGTACTTCTAGTTACAGCTTTAAATACTTCATAAATTAAGGTTTTTAGACAAAAAACGTATAAAAATCTTCATAAATGTAACGATAAAGTTATGTTAAATTGATTTAATAATCTTTCTGTGGTTTAACACACATTTCAAGCTTCTCAAATGTGATGATTTGCTGATTCAAATATGTTACTTTACTTTTAATAACTTTATGCAATGAGTACTTAAAGTTCAATTTCCTAATGCATTATCTTTCAATAAAAATATTAAAGAACAATCATCTTTTTTATAAAACCGTCAGTAATCACAATTGCTTATTTTCTTCACTTCCTGCAGCCCAACAATCATTAGGATGAGTTTCCGCTGCACAACAAGGTGTTTGACATCAAGTCCACACGTAATATAAAACAAACTAAAGCTCACAAATGGATATGAGGTGATTCGGACATCAGTCGTCGACTACGTTGACGTGCAGAGGTGATTATTTATACCAGATAATCAATTCTTACTCCTTTCCTGCTCCGATTATCCTCAGAATCCTCCCCTCCCCATCGTGTGCGTGCGTGCGTGCGTGCGTGCGTGCGTGCGTGCGTGCGTGCGTGCGTGCGCGCGCGCGTGCGTGCGCGCGTGCGTGCGGAGCAGCTTCAGGTGCACATCTCTCTTTCTTTTCTGTGAAGTAAAACGCGCTCTGGGTTTCCTTGGGACAAAGTGCATTTGCTTTGTGCGCTGAGTAACTACATGACATTATAAATGTCTTCTAGGTGACTCAGAAATCTAGACTAGGATCAATCGACTAATTGATAAGTTGAATGCTAAGAAGAATAACGAATAATTACATTGCATTTAGCTGACGCTTTTATCCTTTAATAATGAAATCATATATCCGCCCCACAGCTGGGATATTTACATCGTTACAGCAAAAGGGACAGTGCAGAAAAATACAAAATAATAATGTAATAATTACTTTTGATAATTTACAAATTATTTAAGTCGTTTTTAATGCCAGAAATAGCTATTTTCAAAAATAGAGAGTTGCTCCCTTATACTTTAATTATCATATTTAAGTAATGTGCTTTTGGTTTTGCAAATAAAAAAACTAGACATTTAAGACTTGGACTTTGAGAAACCAGGATAGACATTTTTATTTTTTAAAACAAATTTCTTGCATTTCTTTTGGACAAACCGTTTAGATAAATGGACGTTGAGAGTATTAGTAACTTGCAGCCTTCAGTCTGATATGATATAAAACAATAAGTAGAACATCTCCATATTTAAGAGGCTCCAAAGAAGTATTTTTCAGCCAGTTTTGCACGAAAAATGACCTCTTACTAAAATTTTAATTATCAAAAATATGTGGCACCTATTCCATTTCCCACAACAGCACTCAGTTGTAACTAACTGCAGTGAAGCCTCCGGCAGTATTGCTTTTAAAACACAAGTACTTATTTTTGGGGTTTTGGACTGAAAACACCCCAAAACAAGGACTTTTTAATATGTTCTCACACTTCATAGACCAAATGATGAATCTAGACGATACCCAGCACTATGAGAGGCGAGGTTATTTGAGTGATGGAGGGAACCGAGTGAACTTCATGCACTTATATAATGAACCGAGGGGGTTATATGCTCTTATATAATGTGACGTACGGTTACAGAGAAGTCTCTTGAACGCAGCGTCGCTCTCTTTGAAGTTCACCGCCAGATTCATTTAATTTCTTTAGCACTCGAGACCCCCCACTGTGAGAACATCTGGTTTAAGGTACCCACCCATGTACATTTGCTCAAGTACTGTATTTACAGTTGAGGTATTTGTACATGAGTATTTCCTTTCTTTGCCACCTTCTACTTCAACTCTACTACAATTCAAAAGGAAATATCATATTTTCTACCAACTCTTTTTATTTGACAGCTTCTAATACTTTCTAAATTCAGGATTTTAGACCCAAAAACACATCATTACTCTTAACTTATATTACTCTACTATAAAGCCAGATACTTAAGCACAAAGCTTATGACGTGCCAATCCTTTACCTGTTATTGAGTATTCTTACACGGTATAATTACCACATTTAATTAACTAAATTAATCAGAACTTTTTGGGATAATAACAATAAAAAAGTACATTGATAACGTCCCATGGTGCAGAATTTGATGTTCTCTTGCTCTCCCAGCAAAGTGAGGACACCAGTGAGATAAAGTGTGATCGCTCATTACTTCAAACTCTCTGGGCGTGTCTTTATAATCAGAGCCTGTGAACCCACATGATTACAGGAACACTGGCACATTCTCAACAATCACACACACTCATTTTACCCCCCCCCCCCCCACTGCATCCGTTTCCCCCTCAATCATAGTATGACTGGAATTAGTGATTCAGTGTTTTTAAAGACCCCCCTCTAAACAATCTGTGTGGTTATGGCAGCTGTTTTTACTTTAGAAAAGCTGTCTAATAATAGCAGTTAAATGTGATTATTAAACAGGGAGTCAGACTTTTCTACTTTAAAGAGTCCTCTCCTGCTGATGTTCAGGTGTATATCAGTATGTAGTGTCTCTACTTTAAAGAGTCCTCTCCTGCTGATGTTCAGGTGTATATCAGTATGTAGTGTCTCTACTTTAAAGAGTCCTCTCCTGCTGATGTTCAGGTGTATACCAGTATGTAGTGTCTCTACTTTAAAGAGTCCTCTCCTGCTGATGTTCAGGTGTATACCAGCATGTAGTGTCTCTACTTTAAAGAGTCCTCTCCTGCTGATGTTCAGGTGTATACCAGCATGTAGTGTCTCTACTTTAAAGAGTCATCTCCTGCTGATGTTCAGGTGTATATCAGTATGTAGTGTCTCTACTTTAAAGAGTCCTCTCCTGCTGATGTTCAGGTGTATATCAGTATGTAGTGTCTCTACTTTAAAGAGTCCTCTCCTGCTGATGTTCAGGTGTATATCAGTATGTAGTGTCTCTACTTTAAAGAGTCCTCTCCTGCTGATGTTCAGGTGTATATCAGTATGTAGTGTCTCTACTTTAAAGAGTCCTCTCCTGCTGATGTTCAGGTGTATATCAGTATGTAGTGTCTCTACTTTAAAGAGTCCTCTCCTGCTGATGTTCAGGTGTATATCAGTTTGTAGTGTCTCTACTTTAAAGAGTTCTCTCCTGCTGATGTTCAGGTGTATATCAGTATGTAGTGTCTCTACTTTAAAGAGTCCTCTCCTGCTGATGATCAGGTGTATATCAGTATGTAGTGTCTCTACTTTAAAGAGTCCTCTCCTGCTGATGTTCAGGTGTATATCAGTATGTAGTGTCTCTACTTTAAAGAGTCCTCTCCTGCTGATGATCAGGTGTATATCAGTATGTAGTGTCTCTACTTTAAAGAGTCCTCTCCTGCTGATGTTCAGGTGTATATCAGTATGTAGTGTCTCTACTTTAAAGAGTCCTCTCCTGCTGATGTTCAGGTGTATATCAGTATGTAGTGTCTCTACTTTAAAGAGTCCTCTCCTGCTGATGTTCAGGTGTATATCAGTATGTAGTGCCTCTACTTTAAAGAGTCCTCTCCTGCTGATGTTCAGGTGTATATCAGTATGTAGTGTCTCTACTTTAAAGAGTTCTCTCCTGCTGATGTTCAGGTGTATATCAGTATGTAGTGTCTCTACTTTAAAGAG